CCCTTCATTTTACTCTCCTTCTCTCCCCTGCTTCCCTCCCTTTCCCCCTCCCCCTGCTTTCTCTCCCTCTGCACTTTGTGAACTGCTGCGGCAGTGCTGAAGTCCAAAGTTCAGTAACTTGCTAAGCACACAGATAAATATGAACCTTGGAGAATTTACATTGCTCCAATGTAAACAGATAGCCAAGGGTCCCTTTATCAGCACTGGCTCAGGACAGTCGTGGGGGGTCTGAAGTGGCTCAATTTTGTATTTTGTTTTTTTTGGGGGGGTGTGAAGGCGGGAGGCTGTGCTGTGCCCACTCTCCTGACAGTCGGGCGTGTTACCTCAGGAACATGGTGAAGGGAAGCTGGAAACAGGCTAACCCAAATTCAGATCCAAGAGGCACCAGGCTGAAGACCATGGTCTCGAAGCTGAGTCATCTCCAAGTGGAGCTGCTGGGAGCACTGCTGGAGTCGGGGCTGACCAAGGAGACCCTGATCAAGGCGCTGAGCGAAGCGGAACCCTACGCACTCCAGAGCGAAAGTCAGCGCGCTATCAATGCTCTCCAGACAGAGAAAGGGGAACCCTGTCCCGACATCCCCAACCTCCCCAACGGAATGGGGGAGTCCAGGTTATCGGAAGATGAAACCTCAGATGACGGGGAGGAATTTACCGCTCCAATAATGAAGGAGCTGGAAAACTTGAGCCCTGAGGAGGCTGCTCACCAGAAGGCTGTGGTGGAAAGACTATTACAGTAAGGACAGATTTACTGCTCCTCTTTGCTGCTTTCTTGCATTCTCCTTCTAAATCTCTTTTCCTTTCCCTTTCTGCTCAGTGTCCCTAGTATCCACAGTTGATCCACTGGCACAGTCTTCATCCATGCCAGCACTAGCAGCTCCCAAACACCCCCAAATTCCTTATAACTGCTCAAAGTTTTCTTTCATCTCACTTAAAATGCATGAAAGAAGCCATGGAGCCTGATTACATATTTGATGTGCTTATATTACCAAGCTCCAGAACAGTCCGAGGCCTGTATAACTTCCATCTCTCTGACTGAATGTTAGGGTTTAGGACTTAAATTTTTAATAGGATTCACAATTTCAGTCATCAGGAAAGAAAAAAGAATCTTTCGCTCTGAACTGGTGCTGTATTTGCCTGCAGATGTATGGTAAAGTGAAGTTGTAATGTTTCCCTGCTGTATTTAAGGAGATTAATATTGTTACTTTCTCTGTGGTTTGCCATAGATTACTGGCCAAAGGCAAAGCAAGAGAACTTGTTCTTGTCATTCTTCTGAGTGTAAAGTTCCCTGACTTCAGTGGGGATTTTTCTTGTAAAAAGAGCAAACATCAAATACATGCAGAGGTTAAAACCCAGGCAGAACACTCAGTTTCTACAATCCACTGCCTGTCATAGCTACAAAGTATGAACGCAGCAAGTTACTGCCACACAAATTCGCCTTTCCATGCAAACATTCTTGAAATCAAGACAGGAAAAGTTCCCTGAACCAATAAGCCTCACAATAGACTCAGAGAAACATTCACCAGGTTTCCCATTTGGCATTTTTGCCGAGACACAATTCCCATGGGTGACCCAAGAGGTTGGTCCGAGCAATGATCAGGTCCATCCTACCATCTACTGCAGCAGATTCTTGGCTGTCTCTTTTGGGGCTGCTGTGAAATGCAAGCTGATAAAAAGACAAAGAGTTGCAGCAACATCCTGCACACAATCTTCACTCAAAAATCCATCTATTTTCTCAGGCTTTCTGATCACTTTCACGTGCAAAGGAAATCAACAGAAAACGTAACAAGGGAATTGATCAAATCCCACCAAAAAAGGCCAGACCAACAAAACAGCATGACAAGAGTCAACATTTGCTGTAAATACTTAAAACAAAGCTCCCTGGCAGATTGGGAGTTGATGACTCTGCAGTACCCAAGAGGGGAAAATTCACTGGATCAGCTCTTACCTGGGTGGGGAAAGCATTCCAAATAGTTCAGTCTTCTTCCTGATCCAGCATGTCTCTCATTTCTTCCCCACTTCCAGCATTGTCACGTATTATAGTCTCCTCTGCTCCCTTTTCGCATTCCTTTTACCTATTTCCCTTCTCTCCTCACTTTTGTCTCTACTGATATTCCTCCTATTTTGTTGTCTCCTGGGCTGATTCTCTCTCTACCTTCCAGTCTTTTTCTTCCCCTCATCCTTGTCTCCTTCTCATCTTCCTGAGTCTGCGTACAGGTCTTGGGGTAGTTAGAGCCCAGTGGCACCGGGCGGGCCCTGGCTAGTTACTAATTATCCAATGGCTTTATTATTTCTTTTTTGTCTTATAAATTTATAGATGAAAAGACCCTGATAAGCTTTTTGATCATTAACTTGTGATGGTTTATCAAGTGTCTCTCCACAAGGGAAGCCATGGAAGTTGAAGAAGACCTCCTGGCTTTGTCCCTTTTTGTGCAATGAATGGGTGAAGCAGGACTGAAGTGCCATGCGCTGTGATCCAAGAACAGACACACGGATGGACAGAATTCCTTCCTGCCACGCTCACTTCTGCACAAATTCTGGTTTCTGATCCTCCCTGCCTTGCTAGGATCTTGCTGACAGTCTTTCCTGTGCTTACTAGCAGCCTCACCATAAGTCTTCCAAGTCTTGCAAACCTGTGATGTTAATGCTTTCCAATGAACAGTTTCACATCTCTCTCTGGACAGTCCCTAGAGCAGTATTTCCATTCCACAGATGGAAACTGAGGTACAGAGAAATTCTAGGACCTACTTAAACCCCTGAGATAGCACAGAGAAGACTGAGCAAGGACAAGGACCTCCTAAGTCTCATACTGGGCCTTAATTACAAAAGCTTTACTCAGAAACATCTGAGTTTTCTGTCATCACTCCCCGCATCACAAGATAGAGCAATTCACTTCTGCTGTTGAAGGCAGTGTGAGAGGACCAGAAGCCTCAGTTTCAGCTAAAAATTACAAGTATACTAATAGAGGAATATAACAGATCAAAATTAATCAGGGTAATACAAACATAGTAGGAAGTCTGCATTGACCTATTCTAAATTTCTCATCAGACATTCAAAACCAAAAGCAGCAGTGTGTGTGAGAATCTACTCAAAGCACCTGAACCAGGATCAGGGGTTGACAATATCTAAGAAGTTGTTAACTACTAATAAACTTTTTTTGTTTCTAATAGCATATCAATAGATCATATCAATAGATGCCTGAAGGTGCCCTTAAAATAGTGTTATAAGTATTGTAAGACAGGACAGGACAGTCTATAATAGAAATTACTCTCAGCAGTAGATAAAAGAAAGGCAGGCAAGAATCTCCATGCTCAGGGATTCCCAGTCAATGCTTGCAAAGCTATTTCAGCACCTACACAAGGATTTCAAATCCAGAAACCAGATGGAAGTACTTCTGCCTGTAGGCAGATGCCTCTTTGGGCATTGTTAACCATTCCTGGTCTGATACTGTAGACTGTATTTTAACAGAGACTGACTTGTGAGCATCTGTTGCTGATACAAGAAAGTCTATAGTAACTGCAGCCATTGCTTATAAAGTAAAATCAGGAAAATGTCCATTGTTAGGCTTTTCAGGAGCTGGAAAGGGGAAAAAATGACAGCACCAAGAGACCAAGTATGTCCTCACAGGACCAGTGAAATTCAAGCCACAGTTTGGAAAGCACTAGCCAAAGCTGAGTAAAACAGGATGTAGAGAAGGTTCATCCACACAACTGGGTGTGCCTATGGCTGCTGATTAGATTTTGTGCCTATTAAAAAAGAACGTTAAAGGCAGTTCAGATAAAGGTTTCTCTAGTGAGGAATGAACATGATTTCATTTTGCCCCTTAATCTGTGTCATGGATTTTCTGTAGATTTTACAGTTTGAATAAAAACATTCTTTCCATATCAATCCACAGAGAAAACAAATTGCATCTATGATAAGAAATAAATGACTCAGTAGGCAGATAGAGCTCTATGGAGTAACTCCCAGATATTCCCAGAGCAGAAAGCAAGAGAGAGGCTACCTTGGGGGAAGGGACAGTCATACTACCACAGGAAAAGCAAATGGAGAGAGGTATAGCACCAATCCACCTGTAGGGCAAGGGGTGAAATTCCATTAGGAAAGAGAGAAATTGAGATAAGCAACAGATTTCCCTTGGAGGCAGGGATAAAAGCATGTTTTCCCAGATTTCCCGGCAGGGATAAAAGCATGTTTTCCAGGAGGGAAAAGATTTCTCCTGGAGGCAGGGATAAAAGCATGTTTTCCAGGAGGGAAAAAGAAAACAGAGATATATAATGATAAAGGTTTGGTCTTTCCTCCCCTTAGAATGGCTCTAGTTGGGGAATCTGGAGATGAAGCTGCCACACCCCTTTCATTTCCACATATAAACCAAGATGAGGTGAACCAGGCCAAGTTCCACAGAAAGGAAGATTTCTCCTGGAGGCAGGGATAAAAGCATGTTTTCCAGGAGGGAAAAAGAAAACAGAGATATATAATGATAAAGGTTTGGTCTTTCCTCCCCTTAGAATGGCTCTAGTTGGGGAATCTGGAGATGAAGCTGCCACACCCCTTTCATTTCCACATATAAACCAAGATGAGGTGAACCAGGCCAAGTTCCACAGAAAGGAACACTGCTGGGATGGATGGTCTTACCTTCCCTCGCTGCCTAGCCCGGCTCCAGGCTGTGCACTGGGTTGTCTAGCAGCTCCAGAGGAAAGGGCCACAGGATGGTCCTGAGCACTTCACCTTTGTTTAAGCAAGATCGGGTCCAAAGCAGCAATTCAGACCCCACCACAGGGAAGTAAAGGCTTCTCTCACCTGAGAATCTGAGAACAGGAAAGAAGAGAGACAGAGAGAATGAGGAACAGGAGGGGAAAGAAAGAAACAAAGGCAAAAGAAAGAGAAAAGTCAGGAAGAGTGAAGGAAGGAGAAGGTCCCCTGAATGTTACATCTCCAGCTCTCTGGAATGGGTTTTCTTTAATGCTAACAACTTGATATTTACTTTCCATTTAAATTTGAGATGTTGCTATAAATTATCAACCAGCCTCTTGTTCCCTTTGAGTTTATAACTAACTACCTGGGTTACTTATTGTTCAGGTAACAAAAGGGAGGTGAAAACGCCCTTAAAAAGTGACCTCAGAACTAAGAAAATGGGAAGCTGACACGGGGAGAAGACCCAGACCCCTGTGCTGGGGATGAGCCATGGAGAGGGGCTATGCTCACATGGCAATAAGCAACTGAGAGCAGGAGAACTCGGAAGAAGGAAGTAAAAACTAACTGTGTGAAAAGAATTTGGAGACAGGGAATAGACCTTGGAGAACAAGAGATGAATGGGGAGACAGCTTGCATCTGGGGAGAAAGGGAAGCTGAAAGGCAGAAAACAGGCTTGGATATGGAAAAGGAAGGCTTGAGCAAGGCAAACCCATTTCTGCAGTTCTGACTCACTGAAGCAACTGAGATTTTAGTGTAGCTACAAGCAGGAGAACTAGGTTTAGAGTGAAATCCTCCCCTCTGACAGGCAGTGGCAGTCTTAATGCCAGAGAATGCACAAAGGTTTTAACTTATGTCTCAGTCAATGAGAGAGGCTCTGCAGGTGGAACTGTCTATTTGGGCAAGGGTTCATGAGAGGGTTCAGCTGACCAGACTGCCAGCACTTGTACTGTGATGTAGCCTTGTGCCTAAAGGAATCGTTGCATTGATGTTACAAACTGTGCTTTGACAGCATACAGAGGAGTCAGGATTTCATACAGCTGTCCCAGGAAATCACCTTGTACCAAGATTCCCCTGCACTGCTTTGCCTCACAAGGCTCTCTGCATCATCTCAAAAGACAGAAAAACCACAGGCCTTTAATCACTGTGAGATGAGACTCACAGACACTTCCTGCCTTATTCCTACCACAAAGAAGTGAGGATCACAACAGGAGAGACGAAAGTGACTCATGATTGGGGTGCAGAAAGGAAGTAACATATAATAGAGGCTTCCATCAGTGGCAGCACAGTCTTTCCTCTTCCCATCCAAGCCAGAACTCAAATCTAAACAACTAGGCTCCCACTCAGAGTCTTTTCTCCTCTAGATAGGGACTAGTACAATGAATGCAGAGTGCAGGTGCTGATTAGACTATCACAAATACAAAGGGAGGAGATTGGTTTGGACAGCAGGAGAAGAAAAACAACACACTGAGTAAGAAAAGCTTTTATAAGTTCAGCCCAGTTTGAGGCTTTTGAAAGACTGAGATGGTTAAGGGAAGAAGCTAAAATAACGAAGCCTCTATGGCAAGTGCTCCATCGTAAAAAGAAACAAATGTTCCTATTTTAAGCAGGTTCTTCAGAAAGCTGTAACTGCCATTGTTTCTGTCACACTTTAACTGCAGTGGAGCTTGCTCCTTGGACTATCCAGCCACAGGGAGACAGGCTGCAGGGGAACAGAGATAAGGGTGTTTGTACTGAGAGAACAGGTGTGGACTTTGTCCTCCTTATCACTTTGCAGCCTCCGGCAACCTCCTGAGTCAACAAAGCCATGAACAGCACAGTTGTTGCCTGTTGCTCAGACATGTGTGTTCCTGTGACAGTTTCTGCATGATCCTAGGTACCTTTTTTCTCCCCACTGCTCCTTTGATGCTGGTGTTGAATGTGACACCAGTGTCTTCCTACAGCATGCAAACCACTTCCTCCAGACATTTCACACAGAAGGTACAGAAAGATGCTCTTGTTAAAATGAGCCAAGGGCTTTTCTCAAGAGAGGCTCCTGCACTGTCTGAATTTAGACTGCCTGGCTTCACATCTTTATTTCTACTGTGATTTGCAGCTCTGGTAAAATCAATACAAAACAAAATCACAGTCATGTTTCCTCTATTTTCCCAAGTAACTATCACGGATATTCTAACTGGATATCCTAAAACCCAGAGATTCACATTAATTATGAAATCCCAAATCAGATTAGCTACTCAGGTCTTCTGAGCAGGTCTCAAATAGGTCTGTTCCCTCAGCTGGTACCCCAAAGGAGGTGGCAATAGAAGGAATTACTGTTTTGCCTGTTGTTCATTACTGCGTTTAGAAGCTTTGAGTGGATCTAGGTGTAAATCAGTGTGCTTGAATAACATGTACCTGATGTGTAAGAGCATAATCCTGGATGACTTGTCATGTACATCTGCACATATAGCTGTCATATCACAGAATAATGAGAGTCTGTTTTCTTTTCCTGCATCACTGCAAGGCAATCCAGCCTGGACCACAATCAGGCCATGAGCTGGGTTCAGCCTAATAGCATAATCAGTTCTGGAGAATTTAGTACATCTACCCCAACCATCTATGCCTTAAATAGAGAGGAATAGAGAAGTTATTTAGGGAAAGGGAAGAAAGAGGTCAACTCTGAAAAGAGATCTGTAGTCACAAAACATCCAACTGAACACTGAAATGCAACATCACTTCCCTCCTCATACCATTCCTCACTGGCAAAAAAGTGCTTTAAATCCATGTTATGTTCCTGCAGAAAGGTGCATTTCTTGCCTACACAGAACAGCCCAAAACCTTGTATGAAAATGAGCACAGACAGCAAAGACTATGGCCATGTATTGGGACATTCCCTTGGTAACCTTCTAAGAGAAGATCAAAGTGCCTACAGAGAGCACTTCAAAGGAAGCCAGTGCTACATCCTTTGCACTTTATTTTCAATACCATGCAGTCCTTACCCTAAATGCAGAGTCCAAACCAAGCTTCCACACCAAGGAACAGCTTTCCCTTATGCAGCCAGAGAACACTCTGGCCTCACCAAATGTGATGGTGATGACTAACAGGCAGAGTGTCCCTCAGGAGGTACTAATGTCCTTCCTTGGAATCCAGGTCTGCTGAGTGCAGGTGTTAGATCTCTCACCTGAAAAGTGTTTTCTGCTCCTTCCAGAGAGGATCCCTGGCGAGTGGCAAAGATGGTGAAATCCTACCTCCAGCAGCACAACATCCCTCAGCGTGAGGTGGTGGACACTACTGGTCTGAACCAATCTCACCTTTCACAACACCTCAACAAGGGCACTCCCATGAAGACCCAAAAAAGGGCAGCCCTGTACAGCTGGTACGTCCGGAAGCAGCGAGAGGTGGCCCAGCGTAAGTACAGCAACAGCTGTTCTCCAGCTGTTTCATAAAGGCCTCTGATCTCCCTTGCTCATCCCTATTCCATTTTTTTTTTCAAGGAAAAAATGAGGCAAAGCCACTTTTAGCAGGAAGCTTAGAGAAGTCTAGGTTGGTATTCAGTGGTGACATGAACCAAACAGTACATTGAAAACCACTCCCTCATGCAGCAGCCTGCACTCACCCACCTCACCCTTTGTTTGGCTGAAAAGCAGCAAACTAATACCTCTGTATTTGCAGTTAGAGTTCTAGACCCATCCTCAGACTACAGCAGTGTGGTGGGCAGATGAGAGACCCAATTCCTGCCCAAGAACTATGCTTCTGCAGCTTCAGCTAAAGCAACAGTTCCTGCAGCTGCAAAAAGCAACCCTCTGTCCTGTGCAAGATATTCTCCAAGGGCCTGCTAGGATCTCAAATTATTGGATTTATTGGAAATGCTTACAGAAAACTAATTCCTTTGCCCCTTTGTGCCTGCAGAATTCACACATGCTGGCCAGGGTATCCTGGCAGAGGAGCCCACGGGAGATGACCTGCCCACCAAGAAGGGAAGAAGAAACCGCTTTAAGTGGGGTCCTGCCTCGCAACAGATCCTGTTTCAAGCCTATGAGAGGCAGAAAAACCCCAGCAAAGAAGAGAGGGAGGCACTGGTGGAAGAGTGCAACAGGTGAGGATGGGTGTGTGGCTCTGAGGAAGAGGGGCACAGCAGAGCCTCTCTGAGTTCCTGGTGTTTGCTAGTGCCTGTGAGAGGCAGGCCAAGGGTACAGCGGTGGATGTCACCACTGCAGCCACACTTGAATCAAACGTCACAGCTGAGCATTCACTGTCCACAGGGGATCAGGAACGCTTCATCTTGGAGGATCCTTGTGCACAGCTTGGCAGATCACAGCCCCTTTGGGCCTGCACACCTACTCTGTCTCTCTGACTAAGCCTGGCTCAGCAAGGCTCTTCTTGTGCTTTCCCCCAACAGGGCAGAGTGTATTCAGAGAGGTGTTTCCCCTTCCCAGGCCCAGGGACTGGGCTCAAACCTGGTGACAGAGGTCAGAGTTTACAACTGGTTTGCCAACCGCAGGAAGGAGGAAGCTTTCCGGCACAAGTTGGCCATGGACAACTTCAGTGGACCACAGCCCACCTCTGCCCCACCTCTAACTCCTCACAACTCCTCCTCCCTCCAGCCACCACCTGCTCTCTCACCCAACAAAGTTCATGGTAAGAAAGAACCAGAGGGAGGTCTGAAACAGGCATGAATGAACCTCCTCAAACTCAGTCACCAAAACTGTCTCCCAAGCCCATCCCTTGCAGGAGATGAATCTACAGACAGAAAGAGTAGATTTGTACAAGGGAAGAGCAAAGGTGACAGAGTGGCTAGAATGGCAAAGGTGACAAAGTTCACTCACAAAACTCACGGCCAAAGCTCCTCACTTACTCTGACACCCTGCCCTCCCTGACGGCTGGCAGGCAGTAATTCCTGTTTGAGGAGTCATCATTGTCTGCTATCAGAAGTCAGTTCCATATCCTCTTGCCCATGTGTGCGCCCCTGCTCCTTCCAACACCTATCAGCACCATCAGACTCTGTGACTGAGCTTTCAGACATCAGGAAAGGTCACTGTCCATCCAAAAAGAGAAAAGCTTTTTCAGCTTCATAGGCCAGAGCTGGGAGTTGCTCTGTCTCTGGGAAGAGATGATCTCACCAAGGCTCTCCTCGATTCAACCATATGCAGAAGGTTTCTCCTGAGCCCTGCTTGCTCCCTGCAGCACTCACAGCCAGTCAGTATTTGAGGAAGCAGCTGCACCAACTTAAGAGAGGAAAGCCAGGGCAGGGTGTGAGAATGTCTGTTCTTCTGGTTCCCCTACTACCCATTAAATCTCTGCCCAACATCTAGAGCAAGTGCCTGCAAAGGAAACTGAATTTAGCACTTGCCAAAGTTTCTCTCAATTTCTCACTTTTGACAACCATTTTACTTCCTGTTGTGATGCAGGAGTGAGGTACAACCAGCAGCCAGCCAGTGAGGCAGAGTCCTCCAGCGGCAACCACCACGGGAACAGCTCCATGGTGACCACCCAAACCATCCTGCATCAGGTTTCTCCCCCTGGACTGGAGCCCAGCCAGAACCTACTGAGCACAGACACTAAGCTGGTAAGTGATAGGCACTTCAGTTCTGCTACTGGAGGACATTAGGTCTTCTGCCTGTGGCCACAAGGCAGAAGGTCTATTTAGAAGTAGCTTTTTTTTCTGGGATGTTCTTAAAACCACTTTCTTACAGAGATATTATAGTCGCTTTTCACTGATCATGTAAGATCAGCAGTTCTGAGATACAGGTGCCCTCTAGACTGTGGTGAGGGCAGGTATTAGAGCATGAAAGCAAGAATAGCCATTTCCCTATGGGAAACCAAACCAGCCTATTCTGAAAACACAGCACTCAAGGTGTGACATGATTTCCCTCCTCCCAGGAAACCCTGTTACCTCCTCCTTTCTCCAGCAAGATTCTCATCTCATCTCTAACTCTCATTTGAACTCAACATAGTGGATCAAACCAGTGGGATTAACAGAACAGAGACCCATACTTTAATGAACCTTACCTGTACAAATTAAACCAAACAGCCTCTATGTAGACCGATCTGGAAATCCAGATTGTAGCAAACTGCCTTCCCAAAGCAAATTTCCCTTTGAGATTTGATTACACCTTTTCCCATATAATTAGCAATGAAGCAGTAGAACTACATGACTGATCATTTTCAGTTTGCACATGTTCTCTTGCTTACAGAGCAACAGTTGGCAGAAGTTTCCATTACTGCATGCTGGCCTGAGGCAAAGTTAAGGTCATTATGAGTATGATTTAAATCTCATCAGTCACTCACTTTGCTGGCTTTCTGGCCTCTTGCTGAAGAAAAAAAGTATTTCCTGAGGTCCTGAAAATCTTCTACCTTTGTCTTCTAGAAGTGATATCAAGCTGCTTTGTCCCACTGCTTAACCTCTTGGTGCTTTCTCTTACTAAAGATTCCTTACAGCTTTTTGTCTGAGGGGAGAGAAAAAAAAGTATAATCTAAAGGATTGAACTTTCTTTATCAGCCAAGTTATTAGAACAGTTTTTTGCTTTTCCACAGTACTTCAACTACAGGTCTCTAAAGGGCCTTGCAAAGTCAAAACCTCACTGGAGCACAGACACAGATTACATGGTTCATTTTCGAGGCTGAGACAATAGTCAAGCTATTTAATTTCTCAAAGACAGACTGAATATGCAAGAACCATAATCACAGAACAGTCCTGTACCTAAGGGGTCCTTCTCCTCTCCAACAGCAGGGAACTGCCAAGTAATGCAGCCTGAAGAACATACCGTATGACAAAAAAGTCTAAGGAAACTTTTCAGCAACTCCTTTAAAATTGCAATCCAGACACTCACTGGCCACTAAAAGATATTTGCAGGAGAAAGGGAAATTGCAGGCATTTCTCAGGGGAAAAGGTGAACAGGAAAAGAACTCCTGGATTCTGTGCTGAACTCTGCAGCTAGAATTGCTTCTTAATTTCTCTGAGCATCACTTCCCACTGCGAGGTGTGAAACAAAGATAAACTTTCCCCATGGAGAATGCAGTAGGCCTAATCATACTCTTGCCTGAGAAACCCTTATTCTTTTTTAAATATGAAGAACTAAACCAGCAAAGATTTAGTATGTCAACAGCTGCCCTGTGCTAATTAATTGTGAAGGTTTTCTGGTTAGCAAGGGGTCGGAGCAGGCAAGAACGAGAAGGATGTTGATCACAGCTTTGGGACTCGCCAACCTGCTGCAGGTGACATCTTCAGGGTTCTCCTTTCCCACAGGTGTCAGCTCCTGGAGGAACTCTCCCTCCTGTCAGCACCCTGACTGCCCTGCACAGCCTAGAGCAAAGCCCTCACACACTGAGCCAGCAAACCCAGAACCTGATCATGGCATCGCTGCCGGGCGTCATGGCAATCGGCGCCGGTGAGACCTCATCCCTAGCACCAGCGTTCACCAACACTGGTGCCTCCACCCTGGTGATAGGTGAGTAGTGCTCTGTGGTGACTCTGCTTGCCAGCATTCAGATAAAGAGCTGCCTGGAATCGTTAGAATTACCTGCCCCATTTTCATTGATAAAAGCACTAATCTGACAGTGATAAGCACCAAGGAAATTGTCACTAAGGATCTTCGGCAGCACTGCTTGGAAGTCCCAAGGGGATTAAGGGACAGGTGCTCCTCATTCATGTTAGTTAAGTTACACACAAACCTGTGTCTTAAGAGCAAGGGACTTTTGCAATCTATTCCTATGGCAATGTTTTGGTTTGCTGCTCTTCATCTTCCCAAATATAAATGTAATACTTCCTTAAAACTATGAAAATTGAAGCATGTTCTTAGTGCTTGAAAGACAAAACATCCTGTTCTACTTCCTGCAAAGAGCAGCATATGCCTTTGGAATTCACAGCAGTAATTACTAATTTTTTATGTTTTTCACTTTGACAGTTTTTCTGGACTTGTGTGAGATTTCTTTTCATTCTAAGACTAGTCTACTGCCAAAGTGCATCTCATTAGAGAAAGGAAAATAAAATGTATACTTTCCTCTTATACTTTCTTCCCAGGAAGAAAGAGGCCTTATTTTGTTCCATGGTGACAGCTGTGAACTAATTTCCATTTCCTCACTTATTCCCAAGATTATGATACGGATTTGAATTGTCTGCAAACAAAAAAAAAAAAAAGATAAAATTGGAGTGCTGGAGAAACTTGCTGATTTACAGGAACAGGGTCTGGACAGCTGTGGGAAATGGGCAGTAATGTGTGAAACATTCTACCTCCTTAGCACTGAGACAAATTCCATAATTTGGCATCCCTAGCAAAAAGCGCTGAACTCCATTCCATGTGGCTGGACAGTTCTAGTTGTACAGCCCAGTTCTCTCGATTGCCAACAGCTTCATAAAAAAAGATAGAATAAAATCAACTGGGCACTGAGATGATGCTCTGAGATATCTTCTGAGCAAGGCCTCCCCAGCAGACCTTTGCATCAGGTTATCACCAAACCAGAAAATGATCTATATTGGTACACATGGACGTAGAGGGGAAACCAGAGGTGTGTTTCTGCACTGTACATTCTGTAAATTGCCACTTTGTGCTTACAGGCATGAAGTCTATTCTTATCATAGATAGCAAATGGAACACCTGAAAAGCAGGATCTGAAGTCACCCTGCAACAATGGGCCTGCCACAATGACTGTTCCAGACACCACTATTGCAGAGCAGCCACACTCCTCCCACAGTGTGACACTACTGTCATCGGTCCTTGTTTTTCAGGCCTGGCCTCAACCCAGCCACAGAGTGTACCAGTAATAAACAGCATGGGGAGCAGCCTCACTACCCTGCAGCCCGTCCAGTTCTCCCAGCAACTGCACCCATCCTACCAGCAGCCCCTCATGCAGCAAGTCCAGAGCCACATCAACCAGAGCCCCTTCATGGCTACTATGGCCCAGATACAGAACCCTCACGGTAAGAGCATGAACTCATTTGCTCAAGCAAACAAAAATAAAGACTGTTCTGGAGCATTTGCTGCACCCTTGCAGAACTCTTTGCCTCTTCTATTATTGTTGCTCTAATTATAAAATTACTTTTCTATTGCATTCATCTCCCTGTCCCTCCACTCCCAGTGTTTTGGAGCCAGACAGCAGATCCCCATACCTGAGGAGAACAACTCAGCCAAACTAGCCTCGTGCAAAGCTCCAGCATCCACATGATCTTGTTTTCTTTCATGCACAGCTCTCTACGGCCCCAAGTCTGAAGTGACCCAATACACACATACAGGCCTCTTGCCACAAACCATGGTGATAACAGACACAGCCAACCTCAGCGCCCTGACTAACCTGACACCAACCAAACAGGTAACAGCCTTTAGCACATGCCTTTTTTTCCCCCACTTTAGAACTGTACCAGCCTGCAGGTAGCTCCTTGCTTGTCCAAGAGTTTTTGGGTGTGTGGTCTATGCTATCCCAGCAGGATCATCTTTCTTATCTCCTTGCCTTGCTGGTACCAGCTGCAGTACTGGAGGCACTAGAACAAACTTCACTGCATCAACAAAGAGAATTTAATCTCCTTAGAAAAGTCACGTGCTCGCACTCCTCTTAAGCCTGTTAGAAAGGATGCAAAATCCAGGCACTGCTAACTCTTTTTTCCTTAGGCATTCACACCTGACTCAGAGACTCACACCGAGTCTGGGATGCACACACCAGTGTCACAGGCACCAACTATTCACCTACAGAACCAAGACACAACCATCCAGCACCTTCAGCCTGGCCCACGCCTCACCTCAAGCCCTGCTGGTAAGAGCAGCAGCCACTATTCTCTTAAACATATTGCCTAGTTTCTCTTGCTGACACTGTAAAATCCAGTTAGAAAATGCTAACTGGGGCTCACAATTCCCTAAGAGGGCTGTACCAATGTCCTGAGGGTTTGAAAAGTTGTACAAGGAAAAGATTCAGAGCAGAGTCTGTATAAGGGGAACGGGCCCCTTCAGAATCTAGAGAGGAAAATAACTTCAAAATTATTGACAAAATCAGTTTGATGAGTATCCAGTCCTGTGGGAGGTTTTCAGGGCTGAAAAGCCCAAGACTCCGTCATGATGAGACTCCAGTTGGATCTTGCCAGTTTTAAAAGACACACTAAGATGTCAACTAGAATCCTCAAAACTGAACCCTTAAGGTTGCTGCTCTCAATGCTTTCAGGCTGACTGAGGGCTTAAGCTAGGTCTGTAGTAGCATGCACAATGAAAGAGTCATGCCCCTGTGCCAGGAGAGTACAGCCCTGCTGGAAATGTGAGGCTGTACACACAAGGTACAGGGACTGCAGTGAGAATTTGTACTTAACTGTGTCCGTGCCTTTGACAGTGTCCTCCAGCAGCCTGGTGCTGTACCAAAGCTCTGACTCTGCCAACAGCCACAGCCAGCTGCTGCCATCCACTCACAATGTCATCGAGACCTTCATCTCCACGCAGATGGCATCCTCCACCCAGTAATCAAGACAGCAAGCACAAGGGTGACTGCCACGACCGACCTGTCAGCTGCAACTCCAACCATGTTTGCCATCACTGTCACCACTGCCTTCCCCAGGAAGGAACAGCTGCTGTGCTCAGCTGCCCTCCAGCCCCACTGCCTCACACAAACCCCTGCTCAGCTGCCTCCAGGAGAGAAAATGTCTCAGGCTCAAGACAGAAGCCATGAAAAGGTGATGCTGGCACTGCTAAAATCTACTGCCCTGCCCTAAAATAGCAAACCTAAACCGCATGAGCCAGCCCAGAATGACCAGACATCCTTTTGTGGCTGTCCAAGAAGGAATCCCATCAAGACAGGGATCTGAATGCAATATGGCAACAGCGCCAAGGCACGGATAGGACTTTGATTCAGCTCAGCTTTCATCAAGCTGGGCCTGTACAAACCTGCCAACACCAGACTAAGCCATACAGGAAAGAGCAAAGCTGAGCTGCCAAAGAAGGGACACTGTCTTTAAAAAACACTCACCTCCTTTGCTGCAAGGAAGCACCAATGGGAACTACAAGAAATAACAGTCCCTTGGAGGCAAGAGTGAGAGAATCTGATTCCCAATTTTGCAATGAAAATCACCGAGAAACACATTTGGGAACGGTTTGGCACAAACTTGTCAGTATGGGATCACTGACTACAAGCTACAGATCTTTAATTAACTGTTGAAATACCAAACATTCTCAGTTAAAAATGACCTGCTCTAAAATCATGCTGTCCTAGTGGAAATGGCTTGGTTATTTTTTGATATAGCTCTGCTTTGTTTTAAATGCAGAAATTAAAGTTTAACAGCAGCAAGGAGATTCCAGTCCTCTGCATTAACCCTGTGGATTCTCATCTTGTGTGACTTGCTGGTCGAGCTGGGAACTGGCATTCCCCACTGGTCCCTGACACTGTACGACACCTGGAAGGTTCCCATGCTCTATAGAGAGCAGAGGTTCCTTCAGTTTTCTCTATAAACACGTCAGCTTGGTTTCATTTCACAGAATGTGGCTCAGCCTTAGCTTCCCTGTAGGCTAGACTCTCTCCTTCTTGATATGCAAATAACTACCCTTGGGTCTGTGAGTCTTGCTTGAAGGGTTTTAGTCCTAAGGGTCTACTTATATAATTCCTCTTCTAATTATTCCTCTATTTACTCTCAACATTCACGTCACTGATATGCCATTAGCCAGACATGAAAGAAGCCCAAATTAACAGAATTTTGTCTTTGTGACCAAACAGCTACTCTTTCAACTGTGAAATGGATGAAAAACCTTGAGACTAGAAGGGAGAATTAAAAGAGAAAAAGCCCAACAGTGAACTCTTCAGTTATCATATCTGGAAATTTCAAAACTGCAGATGTCCATTAGAGTTTTCATCAATAAGAGCTTCCTCTAGATACCATCAACAATTTCAGTAACTAGATTATCTGAGGAATTTTATCCTAGAACTGTTTCCTAATCTCCTACATGCATTACTGGCAAATACATATAGTTCCAGTGAGCAGAAAAATAACCCTAAAACAAATCAAAAGGTAATACTTAGGCCCATATAGATTTGAAAGCCCAGGTGCAAACTTCAGCACACTCAAGTTTTAACTGCCCATATGACAAGTAACTTCTGCTGGCACATGCAGTTAGATTACAAACCAGTTTTCTACTTAGCTTTTCCATGTTTGGATGCCAACTGTGTTTTCTTGACTAAAAACCAGTTAGGAACTTACAGCAGGAAAGATCTTGGGGTTTCCCATGCTCAAAGAGCAATAGCTCACTATTTGGGTTTCTCTAATCTGGCTTTCTGCTCTCCTGATTAGGGCAAGTAAGTTGGAGCCACTGAAACCTGATGACGATCTTAGAAACAGAACAAGAGTAATTATCAGTAACAGGTAATGTGCTGAAATACTGGAGCTGAGGTACAAACAGAGTAAGAGTCACACTAAAAACTACCAAACCCCACTGTATTTCAGAGAGACAAAAGTTATAATCAACCAAAACAAGGACTGAAACATGGTGATTTTTATATTAGGCTTAAGTCCTTCCTGTAGCAATTTCACAGTGTTGGTCACTAAGCAACTAAAGAGCCATCCCCAGCCATCTCCATCTCTGCTGGGGAGAATCTGCATACAGGGAAAAAAAAAAGCCACTGTTGTACAAAACCTACCAAATTAAATAAGTCCAAGAGCGTAGTAGAATTTAATAACAACAGAAGCCATAAAAAAACTATACATGAAAAACAGTTTTCAATGGACACAACTGGAACAGTAATGACCCATTTATACCAACCCTGAAATCAGCTCACCACACACTGTTTATGTGCAGGGGCCCTGGAGAGGTGCAGATTGCAGAGGGACTAGTAACACAGCAGGTTTCAACAACAGATTGTTAGGATGATCACAGGAAAAAAATAAGGGGCCCCTGGTATCTGACAGGATGCTTTTGATAAATGAGTCTCCCACAGGCTGGAGCTATTCTTAGTAGGCATCTGGAAGGAGGCAGAGAGAAAAAGGAGTTGATCACCTGTTGCCATGCAAACCAAATTGAATTCATCATATACTTTCTCCAGGACACCAGATTTGGTTTCATGATGTGAAGGAACAGACCAGGAGGGATGCAGCTATGATTACATCCCTCTGTCACGCAAGCCTGTGCACAGTATTTAATCCTTTTAGGCCAGGCCTGCAAAAGCAGCAGCACAGACAACTGCTGTGTGAGGAGAACAATGTTCCCTTCCTCAGGGACACCAACGGCACAGGAAGTCACTTAATTAGTCTCTCAGGCCACTGAGCTTTCAGAACAGAAGCTTTGCCAATTAATTTTCTCTCATCTGCAGCAACTCTTATTGTTAGGGGTTTTTTATTTTCCTTCATCCATCATAACCACCTGCTGTTTTCAGAGCAAAATCTTCATTCTTTTTCTTCTTCTTTTTCTTCTTCACAACTCCTGCCAACAGTGAGTTCTCTCTGTGATTGCTGTCCTGTCTCTCATGCTGTCCATTTGCACACACCAACCGTGGCAAATCTTTGCAGATCTGGTCACACTCTGCTGGGCCCATTATTGTCTCTTGAATATTGTTCTCTCTCCTAATTTTCTTTTTCTTCTTTTTTTTCTGCTTGTGCTCTACATAACCCTGACTCTGATCCTGGCTGGAATCCTGGAACAGGGCAGGAAAAGCACTTTGCTTCAGAATATCTGCAGCTGACACAGCAGCCTCCTGGTACCTCTGCCACTCCTGGTCACTGTCTGTGTCACTGGAAAGGCAACAAGTGGGAAGGGAGTTGTGTTACACTTTTTACCTGGAATTCACCCAAAACTTGGACAACAGAGCAATCTGAGATGAGAACATGTGATAAACACCCAGTGGCTCTGGGATTTCCACACCGACAGTTTGCATTTAACCAGCTGGAAGGTTGAGGTGTTCTTTACATGCATTAGGAGGGGAAAGAACACCTACCACCAACATTTCTAGTTCCCCGGCCCTAAAAAAAAGAAACCAAAAAAACATCTGGTCTAGTCAAATATAAGTCATAAATGCACACTTCTCAAGCTCTTCAGCTTCCTATTCCCTTGTGGGAGTGCCAGCTGCCTCTGAAATGTGGGATGCAATAGCAGTTCAGGAGAAAAACAGTTGCCAACACCTCACCTGGAGCTGGCCTGTCGTCTCCTCCTTGCTGCAGGGCAAGGCTCTGGTTTCCCACAGTCTCCTGGGACAGAGGAAGAGAAGAGGCGAAAACCTAAAATATGGAAAGGGGAATTTTAGCCATATTATAAAACAGAGATGAAGGCAATCAACTGTAATCTCCCTGATCAGCCTCAGTGCTGTTACTGTATTGCTATAGTGCTTGACAGCAATTATTTGGGACTATGTGGGAGGACTCAGGGCACAAAGGTCACAGCTGCAAAGTAACAGCCCTCATGGACACCCACAGAAATCCTTCTACTGCAAATGTTTATTAGTCAGGTGGTGTACAGCAGGCAGTGGACAGGATCCATCCCACTTGTCATCCCTTAACTAACACAGTCACAAAACAGCCACTATGGCTGTGACTAGAACTCACCATCATCTGCAGAGTCAGACTCTGGCACTGAAGTTTGTGAAGGTCCTGATGAATCCTTCAAGACAGTGATGAAACTAAACAGAAAACCCCAGTCAGATCACAGGTTTGTACAAACTGAGCTAATGTTGGGTATTTCTGGGAAACAAGGCTAGAGGGAGATGTTCCACAGATTCCTTCTTTTTAGTGAGACTGCCTCAGCCCCCTGCTCTCACAGCAGACCAGGCCTTCTCTCCTCAGCAACACGTGCCATAAGAATGATTTAAAATCAGCATGTCTAAAGCCAACCCTAAACACCAGGAATTCTAGTTCATCAGGGCTGCATTTACACAATGAAGAGACAGTGGCAGCCCAGTCTGAGGCACACTGCCAGCACAACCCTGAGTCAGGTACTGGTTTAGGTCACACGAACAAATGAAAGAGTCTCCTGCCAAGCCTTTAAATGATGAAAGTGCTAAGGCACCCAAATTCTGCTTTTTCTTCCCCACAACACATTCACCACAGAGGCAAAAGGAGACAGTGCTGCACAGGGAGTCTTTGTCAGAGGGGCACAGCACATCAGCAAGCTTAGTTTGCTGAACATGGGAAGCTTGCACTGAGTACAGAAACGTAGGAGACAAGAAGCTCTTGAGTTTCCTGGGTTTAGCACACAAAAGCATCAGCATAGCTAACCCACAGAACGAACACTTTCAGCCTTGCATGCCAGTACCTGTCCAGCATTGCTCCCAGTTTCCTTGCGACGTGTGCTCTGAACTCTGGAGTTGTCTGTAGCTCATTGCTGTCCTCACCGTGGCCACTCGCCTCACGCCCATTGGGAATAACAACAATGATTATTTCTCCTGAGGCCAGACACATCTGGTGCTCTCACCCAAACAGGACATTAGGGCCTGTAAAATCTCCTGCTCTCTACTAACCAACTCATACTGATAGGGAAGACTGCCAAGATGGAAAACAGCTCAGTAGTAACAGTTCAGCTCTCAAGAGAGAGACAAATGTTATTTACCCGTTTCTAACAGAGTAATTGGATTATTTTTCTCATTGAAATAATCTACAAAAAGCAAAGTCAGAACATCCCTTCTCTTGCATGTAGTTCCTGTGCCTGTTTCACAATTCATGCAAACCCTGTCCTAGGACAGAGGGTTTTATCTTGCCTGGCTGATAGCCTTGGAGACTGAGCCTACAGAAATGTTGCAGCCTGGGATAGGACAGCATCACCTCTTGATCACACCATGCAAAGTTGCTGCTTTCCTGGCCCTTGCAATTGCCATGCTTTTGGAAGAAAAATAAACTCTTTTATATGTAACAGTACTAATTCCTTCACGGGACACTTGCAGAATTGAGAGATTTCTGACAGTGAAACTAATGCTGTAAATGACAGCAGCAGTAAGTTTTCAACTTCTATATTGCCCTGCTGCCAGAGGAATGAGAAATGTACTTTTAGAATATATTAGTCTTTTCAGATTTCAGCATCACTTCAGATTGGTTGGGCTAATTCCCCAAACAGAACAGACCCTTCCAGAAGGAAGTACCACAAGGCATTAACTACATAGGACAAATACAACACATTCATTTTTACTTCAGTGAAACATAAATCTGAAATCCGAAGCAAAAATACCTCAGGCTTGGCTGATCCTTAGGCTGTAAGGGATCCTTTCTAAAGCCATCTGAAAAGGAAGAAGAAGCAAAGGAAAGTTTAAAAGACCTGTCGCCAGGACCTTCAGGCACACGTGATGGTACAGCATAAAGAATCATGCCTGCAAGACGACCCTCGCCCACCCTAGGGGGAAGACAGTTATGAGCAGAAAGGGAAACTTCGCACGGGCCAGGCCTGTCGGGAAGGGGCTCTGGTCCCGGCCTGAGGCCGC